CCACGACCTCAGGCAGGAGAGGTTCGTACAGAACTACGCGCCCCCCCAGCACCCAGGAAGGTGCAAGTCGCCCAGAATCACGGTTTTCAACAGCCCCCCCGCCCCCCACGTCAAGGAAACTGGAGAGGATCCGGGAGGAACAGGAGACGCCCCCAAGACCAGACGACGAGACTACTTGAAGTAGGGGAATACTTGATGAGAGCCGAGAGGATCGCCGGCAGAGTGTTCAGGGACCATGCCAGAGGGAGGGGAAGAGGAAGCAGGAGACAAGGACCCCCTCGACAAGAAGAACCCCCAGCGGAACACCACCAGTAAACTCACCCGACAGTTTTGATCTAGAACACCTATTGGACCCGTCAGCGAAAGAACATTTCTTGAAAAACATCAACAACGACTTAACACAGGATTTACCTCTGCTTATTGAAGAGAGGTTACAAGATTTATTTTCAATTTTTCTCTCAGAATTACCTGGAACTATGGAATCCATTCCTCATTCTCTAATGGAATCTTGTCTCTCAAAATTTAACAATTCTATGAAAAATTCTTTTTCTGATCTTCTAAGCAATGAAATCATCCCTTCTATCTTGAACAGAGTAGTTGAATCTCTAAGTGAAAGAAATATCATTAGAACCAGTAACAATTGCTGCCAATGCCCCTGTGACATAGAAGGATTGAAAGATCACTTGAATAAGAAAATAGAAAATCTACAAGATGTGATGTATGTAAGAGATAATCTACACCATTCTGAGAGAGAAGAAGTTATGAATAGAATGGGAGCATTAGAGAAGAAACTGTCTGAAAAATTTAACTATGTCTCAAATCAAGTAACTGATTTAAATGTAAATGAGAACAACAGATTTGAACAAGTTAAAAGAAGGTTAGGAGATTTGCACAACACCACGCAACAAATAAATAGTAAGTTAAACTCTATTATTGAGCCTGAGTATAAAGAATCACCGCCTCACCTTCAGTACAATAACCCATGGTCAAATGCTCTGGCTGAACAAGTAATCAACCAGCCCCCTCTAGAAGGAGAAAAATGGCCCCAAAATCCTGTTCCCCACTCCCAAGCCCCAGTAAGACTGGAAGAACAACCAACAAAAAGGGTAACTAGTGAGTTTGATAATAAGCATCTTGAGAATAATAGACTAGAATCCTGGCTTATAGATTTCCCCTTCATTGATCATGGTGAAATAAACTCTGAGGTGAGAAACCAATTATGGAAAGGTATCCCTAAGACCAGTGAATGGGAAACTTTCTCTGGTGAATTACCATACAACCATGAGTTGTGGCTGCAGCACATTGACGTCTTCATCCAAGACTACCTCATGACTGATGACATGGTAATCAGTAGGTTGACTGCTCTGCTTACAGATACCGCAAAAAATTGGTACATAGGAATCAGAGACAAACATGGGAGAAAATCCTGGGCATGGTGGAAGAATACTATTAGGAATAAATTTGGCACTCATAATTGGAAATGGAAAATGAGAGTAGAATTTGAGAAAGATCATTTCTCAATAGAAAATAGAAAAGTCCACAAGTGGTTCAACACTCAGAGAGAAAGACTTAGAGCATACCAACCAGAGCTCAGTGATTATCTTGTCTGTGAAAAGATCCTCAAGCAGTGCCCTGGTTCCTTGGAACATGCTGTTAAGAGCAGATATAAGAAAGCAGATGAAGATATGAACTTTGAAGAGATGGTTATCATTATAGAGGAAGTTCTGGACAGAGCTATGGGCCAATACAGACCTAGGTATAGTAACCCATCCCAAAATATTAAATCCTCCTGGAGAAATGGAAATCAGCCAAACAAGCTTGAAGATAGTAAAGCTGAGACAGATCAAAAGATGTCAGCCTTAGAGCCAACCAAGCTGGCCAAAAGACTGCCAAAACTACCCTTTTCTACTCAAAATATTATTTTATCTTTTTCATCTTAAGACTTTTTGACCTTTCTGACTTCAGAAATGGATTCCTGGTGTAAAATTAACCCTAGTCACCACTGATCACTTTTACCCAACTCCATTCCTTCATTGACTTTGTAATAATTCACAGTACTCCAAGAATTATTCCAACCTTTAGGTTTCCGCTCCCTCTACCACATGTACATACCAGATTACATAATCCAACTGTGAAAATCCTCTCTGAGCTTGTTGATCCCGCTTCCAGAGGATTTTCAGACTCCAGACCACCCAGAAACCACAACAACCAGTACCAGATCCAGCTCACACTTATCAACCAGAAGAACCTTACTTTTCCTGCCTTTCCCACTACTCAGTGTCATTGGTGTCATCAGTAAGTTACTTCTTTAAGTCCAGCTAGCATCTTTCTGCTTGTTTTCTTTCTCAGTCTCTCTCACCTCTTTCTCTTCCTTCTCTAAACCAAAAGCCCTGATCAACCAAAGCTCCACTAGCTTCAAAGATTCTTCTCTTTTATTGTTTGGTAGTAAAACTGAAAACTACATAGGTTTCCCTTTAAAGAACCTTGATCATCCTTGATCTAAAAAATTGTGGTTGATCTGATTTATCAGAATCAATAACCCATTTCAGTTTCTGTTGATTTGGAGGCGTCAGAGTTAGCTCCGCTTATAACAGCTATCCTACTAAGGAAAATAAGACTGTCAGCAGCCATCCCAAAGAGGACAGTAAGACTGCCAGAATTTTATCATCTTCTTAAAATAAATAAAGAACAAAAAATATTTCTTTCTATTTCATTCCTCTTCTCCCTTTTCTCTTACTTTTATTTGTATTCCTCTTCTTATAAGAAATACATATAAAAGTGCCCCCCAAAACCTTGTGTCCTGCTGTCACTATTGAGACCCAGGCTCACAAAAGAAAACTCCTGCTACTGCCCCCGCAGTCACCAAAGGGAAAGATGTTTGTCATTTCTGTAAACAACCAGGTCACTACTCCAGAGAATGCCCCAGGAAAAGAAGCAGAATCAATAACATTGAGCTGAATTCAGGGGATGAAGATGAGGACAGGAATGACCTGGGAAGCCAATCAGAAAAAGAGGAAGACAATCAGGAGAACAATCATATGATCCTAGCCTTGGATAATGATGGTACATCAGACCCCCTGATAAACTTTAACTTTGATGAATGTGCAGTTGAGTGTGAATTGACAAATGAGTTCTCAATAGCTGAAATACAAGCTGAGTCCCATCAACCCCAGACTTGGGACAGGAACTGCCAAAGTTCCCATGTAGAGGACACTAGACTAATGAGATGTAAACCTGATAAAGGTAAGGGCCACCTGATTGGAAAATCAAATCTGACTAGTGTATTGATTGATGGCAAAGAGTTCTCATGCTTACTAGATAGTGGTGCCTCCTGCTCTATTATTAGCCACTCCCTCCTAGACCACATTAAACCCTTGTGGAAAGATGACCTCATGCCTATTAACCACGCTAGATTCCATAGTTGTAGTGACCAATTACAACCCTTGGGCATAGTAGAGATACCTCTTATATTCCCCCATACTAAAGGATCAATGAGAATAATAGCTGAATTTGTAGTCATGAGAAATGCTAGAATCAATTATCTCATCCTAGGAAATGATTACATGTCTTTGTATGGTTTTGATATCACCAATAGCAAAGAAAGATTCTTTACCATAGGAAATGATAATAAGAAAAAGAAATTCAGCTTTAAATCCCATGCAACTGACAAGATGCCTCCTTCTACTGATATCTCCTCAGTCAAGAAAACAGACCCCATGCTCCAGAAATTTATATCTGAAGAATTATCGGACGCAAAGATAAGTGAGCAGTTATCCAGTGAGCAGAAAGAAAAATTATTTGAAGTACTATATTCAAATAAACTTGCTTTTGCTAACACAGATCAGCCTCTGGGAGCCATCAAAGGCCATGAAGTCCACTTGACTTTGACCACTGAAAGACCATACCCCCCTCTCCTGCGCAAAGCCCCTTATCCTGCCAGCCCCAAAAGTAGAGAAGCACTGGAGGAACACATAGAGGAGTTGGTCAGACTGAATGTGCTGAGGAAAGTTGGCCATAATGAAGTTGTAGAAATCACCACTCCTGTGATTATAGCCTGGCACAATGGAAAATCCAGAATGGTAGGAGACTTCAGATCCTTGAATTCCTACACAGCAGCAGACAGGTATCCAATACCCAAAATCAGTGAGACCTTGAATAATCTGGCCAAAGCTAAATTCCTGACTAGCATGGATGTCTTGAAAGGTTTCCACCAAAATGTGATAGCTGAGGACTCCAGACACTTGTTGAGAATTATTCTGCATAAAG